GTGAGAGGATTCACCAGAGACAGTGGGAAATAGAACAGGCAGATTGACAAAGGACACTGCTGAGGGGGGAGGTCTGCTGCACAGTGTGGGTGACCTCCCTGGTGGCGGCATCGAACTCATGCTGAGGTGGCTGCGGCTACCTTCCCAGTGCTGTGCCTTAACTCACTGCACCACCAGAGAGGACTACCATGAGAGGCCCCCACCCTTGGTTATTAATGTCACATATGGGTGGGAAATTGTGATAGACATGTTAGGAATTTGTCTCCTTTTAATTATTTGTGTTCTTGGCTTATGAAACCTAGACAAGGAAATGGATGAATGCAAACAATTCTTGTTTAGTTGTTTTTTTTTTAACCAGTTGAATCTGTTCAGTATCTCTTGTAGGATATTATAGACACTGAAAAAAATAAAAGTCTACTGAAATCACAAGATAAACACATTAAAAGTTCAAGAAAATAAAACTATGGCGATGGCAAATGAGTAATCCACAGACAGAAAGATCTAGAAGTTCAGAGGAGGAAAACATGGCCAAAAGTGTCTATGGTCAGGCAATAACAGCAGCAGTGAAATGTCCTGAACACCTACTGTGTGCTGGTTTTGGACTTGAAGGGACTTTGGCCCATGAGAGTAAGAGAAATTGCACTGAAAAGCCACCAAATCATGTGGCCACCACATGGAAGGGAGAAGGCCCCTGTTCTCAACATGCAGCATGAGAGCAATGAGCAGCACTGACCAGCATGCCCTCCGCCATGGCATCCCATGGGCATGGTCCCAGAATCTTGAGGACACCCCAGGGGCAGTCCTAACACAGTCACCCCATATGACCTCCTCCTTTGCCCCACCCAATGCCCACCAAACAGGACTGCCACCTGTCAGTTCTGCAGCCACTTAAAGCCCTTGAGCCCCATTTCCCCATCTGTTCAATGTTTACCATGTACAAATAGCTCACATATGTTGAGAAAACCTTGCGTCAAAATATAGCTAATATTTACTAGGTGTGTATTCTACTCCAAATCCTTTGTGTGCCTTTGCTATCAAATCCTGCTAAAACTTGTGGCACCAACAGTTACAATGCACTTTAAAACAATAAACAATGATGGGGCCCTCCCTGGTGGCCCACTGGGTTAAAGCACAGTGCTGTGAAGCTACCACAGACACTGCAGCACAAGTTCAATCCCCAGCTAGGGAGGTGACCCACATGGTGTAGCAGATTCTCCTGACCTTACCCGCTGCTCCCCTCAGCAGTGTGTTTCAGTAGATCTGCCTGTTGTGCTCCCTGCTGTCTCTGGTGAATCCTCTTACCCCCCTGTATCTCTGGCCTGTACCCCAGTTCTGTAAGCATAAATAGATAAGTATTTAAAAAGATAAAGAGATATATATACATATAAATACATCATTTAAAAAATAGATACTAAATATTAAAGAAAAACAAACTAGTAAAGCCTGATATTGTGCACTAAAATAGATAAATAAATACAAAGCACTTCAATATTTGTACCATCCATTTTTTCCTGTTAATAAACCTTCATCTTTAGTCCTGTACATCAAAACTACATTTCCCAACCTTCCTTGCAGAGGGGTAGCCACTGACTAAGTTCTAGACAAAAATGAGGAAAAGGAGATGTCATATTAAACTTCTAGAGGCTGTTTTTATTAAAGGGAAAGAGGCACAACCAACCTGCACTCCCTCTTTCTTCCTGCTGACTGGAATACAGTCAAGACAGCTGGAGCTCCAGCAGCCATCCTGGGTCATGAGGTAGAAGCCCAGAGATGAGGATGGCAGAACAATGAGAGCCTGCAGCCCCAGTGCCTAGGAAGTCACCCTGGACTTCCTACATCTATAACACAGAGTGAATTTTTTTTAAGATTTATTTATGCATACAAAAACTGGGGTTCAGGCTAGAGGTATGGGGGTGAGAGGATTCACCAGAGACAGAGTGGGGAGCAGAACAGGCTGACTGACGAAGTACACTGCTGAGGGGAGCAGTGGGCGGGCAGGAGAGGTCTGCCACGCCATGTGGGTCACCTCTGGGGCAGGGATCCAACTCATACAGGAGTGGCTTTAGCTTCTTAGTGCTGTGCTTTAACCCCTTGTGCACCAGGGAGGGCTCCAGAAGTGAATTTTTGAAGCCACAGTTGTCTTGGCTTCTTGTTACTCCCAACTGAATCTAATCTCAACTGCTAATCTTAGCGCTCTTATACTAGTTATGCCTACCACTGCCCTGCTTAATTTTTCTCCTGAGCACTTATACCCACCGAATGCACTCTATTTTAATAATTTGCATGTTTCGCACTAAATGTGGACTTATATATGATTCAGCAATTCCACTCCTAGAGCTCTACCCAAAGAACACAGAAACACTCATTCAAAAGGAAATCTGCACTCCTATGTTTATTGAAGCACTATTTACAATAACCAAGATATTGAGACAACCTAAATGCCCCCCAACTGATGGCTGAATCAAAAAGATGTAGCATATCTACGTGATGGAATATTACTCAGCAATCAAAAAGATGACTCTTGCCATTTGCAGCAACATAGAAGGAGCTGGAGGGGGTTATGCTAAGTGAGATAACTCAGAAGGAAAAAGATAAATATCAGATTTCACTTATATGTGGAATATAGAGAAACCAAACAAAGGATCAGGAAGAAGACAAAAGTTGCAATCTGACAGTAGATCAGAAGCACACAGCAAGGGCGGAGGGTGCTGGTGGGGCAGAGACGAGCCACAACAGGGGAGGGAAGAGCACCAGGAACTGTGGCGCTGGATCATGGGTGCTGTGGCTGTGGGAGGACTTCAGGGCGACACCTGCAGGGGGAAGCAACTACTGTGCAAAAATGAACAGCAGTGAGGGCCCTCGCTGGTGGCGCAGCGGGTTAGGGCACAGCACTAGCTCTAGCTAAAGCCACCTCAGCTAGAGTTCGATCCCCGGCTGGGAGCTGACCCACAGGGCACAGCAGACCTCTCCTGACCCGCCCGCTGCCCCCCTCAGCAGTGTGCTTCGTCCATCTGCCTGTTCTGCTCCCCACTCTGTCTCTGGTGAAGCCTCTCACTCACTGCACCTCTGACCTGTGCCCCAGTTCTGTATGCATAAATAAATGAATCTTAAAAAAGAAATTATTAAATGTACCCACTGAGCCTAAGGCACACGCTAACTACAGAAGTGGGGCAGGGGTGCACTGATGCCTGGGGGAGTCAAAATGCCTCTGAGAAACTTAATCAGAGCCTTTCTTCAGTTTTCCATGAACAAATACCACTTGGCCAATCTTTTCTATAAAAGAAGCAAAAGCAAGGCTGTGTTCTCTGATCCACCCCACCCACATTGCCACCAGAGTCAGTCCCTCCTCTACTGCCAGCCTCTTCTTTTAAGCTGCAATATATTTTATGAATCTACTTCTCTCCTCTGAGACTGGCTGG